TTACTTCACAGTAAGCCGGATAACCATGACTACCATGTTATTACAGCAGAGATTAATGTATTTGTCAATAGAATATGCCAAATATTGGATGTCAGTTTGCCTTGACAGAATTATGCAGGCGGGGGCAGGACAAATGATTCCGATTATCTGTGGGAGCAGGTGAGAGAGGGATGAAATTTTGCAAAAGTGGGACTGAAAATGTCCAGCACTAAGAAAAGTGTGATGCACGGTGGTGTGAGGAAATCACATCATGGTATTTATGCTCCTTTTAACTTGGGCTAATAATTAATAGCAAATAGAACTTTAGAATATCCAACTTTCAACAACCCATCCTTCTATACAGGGAGATTCACTCGAAAGAGGCCCCGAATATTTAGTTGTAACTCCTATTAAGATGAAGCAATCTGAACCAAAAAAAATGTGCTACATATCTTGACATATGTGTAACCGATTGCATTACATGCGATGCTGGAATTGATCTCTGTTTTCTGCCAGACACATTTTGGCGTGGCGCTCCATGTTCCTGAACATATCGGCAAGCCTTAGAGAGGTTAAACGTCGCAACAGCTGTCCAGCGCCTACCTCATCGCTCCAACACAGGGGCATCCCAGCTTGTTCAAAGCTCCATATACTGAGGATCACATTGCTCGTTTCGTTCAGATTGCTTTGTCATAGCGAGAGTTATTACAGAATATTTGGGGCCTCTTTCGAGTGAATCTCCCTGTATATCTTGAACATTCTACAGCTGTCAGCCCCTTGGTTTAAATAAAAAATAGGTTCTTACATAGGACATGTTTAATATGGTTTCTAGTCCACCTATCATTACTACATTTCACAGTCCATCCAAGACCATACAAGAATTCAGCTGTGTGCGCACTGATAAATGCATGCATATCAAATAATTTACAACAGTTTTAAAACATGTTTCAGCTAATCAGATTTAAGAACTAGAAATACCAGTTTTATAACTGATACTGTGTCCTTGATTTTAATATTTCAGATCAGTCAATGATTGACTGTCGACTAACGATAATTTGTTATTGGTCAAAAGAACATCCCTAAAACATTAACCAGTAAGTTGAATCTTTTGCAGCATTTTCAGTTGAAAATGATTTCTATAAACTGCAGTCACAACAGAATGCATACTCAGGGTTCTCACTCTTTCTAGGAAATATTTTCCAGGACAAATTGCAGAACAATTTCCATGATTTATATATACACACACACACACACACACACACACACACACACACACACACACACACACAACAGCTGTTGCTCATGAAAGTTCATATTAAAATAATGCACAACTGCAGACATCCTTAACAATAAAGTCAACAATACAACCACTAATGACTTCTTATTGACTGAGTGATATACTTCCACTGACTTAGAGGAACCATTCCTGAACCAATCATGATTGATCAAAAGTTCTAATACAATATTAGAAGTGAACATACACACTGCAAGAATGCAGCCTCAAATCTAGCTACATGTGTAGCACTGCTAACTACAACAAGAATGGACACTAACTGGGCATTAGCAGCTAAAATATATACACGCAATGGTTTAATGGCCAAACTTTACACTTTTCTAGGACTTCACTAATATTTCCAGGACTTCATCAATTTCCTTTTTTTCCCCCCAAATATTTTCCAGTCTGTAGATTTCTAGGTTTTCCAGGACATGTGGGAACTTGTGCATTTCTAGTTCTTACTCATAACTAATTCTTACTTATTTCCTAAATGCATTGTCATTGTCAGGATCCTATATATGCTGCTACATGTTTACCGATAAAGAACACTTGCTTCACCAGACTTTCAAAACACATCATCATCTTAATACTGTGAAACAGGTTCTATAAGCTGTTTAATTTTTCAAAAGGCAGGAAGCAGGTGTTCTCCAACTTAAACAATGTAGCGGTGTAGGTTTTATCTCAGCATTTTACTAACAGTACAAAAAATCACATACATTTTCATTCAGTGAGGGTTGGAATTCTGAATCATTCTAACCTGCTACACTGTTTTACAGAAAAGATATACCCCTACCCCCCACCACCATGACTGGCTTATCTGCCTCTCCCCAAAACAAACACACACACACACACACACACACAAAATCTCAGGTTGCTAGGAGCTAGAAACAGAATCACAGCTACCAGATCACACAGTAAACTGGATTTCCTCTACCCCAGCCAGAGCTAAATACCCAAATACTAAACTACTCAACCTCAAGCACATAGTGTCTGTCAAAAAACAGCCACAAATGACCTACAACAATGTTCCATTGTTAGATGTCCAGAAATTAACTGCATTGCCTGGGGGAAAATATACTAAAGTATACTTTATACTATAGACAATAAAAAAAAAAAATCACTAGCATATCTTTCCATATCCAAGATTTCTAACATAGGCTGAACGAAGAGGGGAAAGAATGAGGATTTAAAGATGTCAGTGACCTCTAACTACGGTCTTTTCTCCCTGAGCCATAAAGAATCTGATCGACCAATGAGTAATGAACTTAGTGCCAGTCGTTTACGTTTTGTTTCAAGGCCACTGCAACTCATTTTTAAACTAAGTGCATGTTGAATGAGGCAAATGGTTCTATAAATCAATCAATGCTACCTAACACTTACTAAAGTACTTTCTTCTGTTGCCTTTCAAGTTGTTTAGAGATGCATGTGTGTTTACTCTCAATGTACTTTCCATGGGATGCCTCAGTTTCTTTTTGAAAGCACTTAAAATGACTTGCAGCCAAATTCTGCATCACATTTCCATGCCTTGTGTATGACGCTTGTGCATACGTTAATAAACTAATATTACACTTTGTTACTCGGCTTTCTTTCATAGTTATATTCTGCCATTTTACTTAAGCTTACTACCACAGTTATCTCAGTGATTCTGGCATACTCACTGCAGTTAGGAGGAAACCCTTTTTCTCACTTATAGACCTAAAAAAATCACTAGTATTATTCATAACAAAGATTCATCTCCTATTATGAGCTAAGGGGAGGAAAAATCGTGAGTGGCTGCTCACTATAACATTAATTGCAAATGCTGCTGAATCTTAAATACCATTTTAGTCATTGTTTGGGTCTTCTGAACTTCCGGCCTCTGCACTGACTGTCAAAAAGTATGTCAAACTAAACATTACTAACATTTGCTTTTAAGTCTATATAATAACACATCAGATCTTCAATTAACAAATTACCTGTTTTATTGTGCAATTAATAAATGAATATTTTGGCATCACTAAAGGTGTTCTGTGCAAACATGTAGCAATGGAACTCTGATTTAGCAATCTCAGAGACAAAGGTGCAGTCATGCTGTCTGACACAAAAAGGCCAACTCTCTCATGCTGGGACAAGATCTTATGTTTACAATGAGTCTGCCTTATCTTCCTGTTTCACAAGGAGGGAGGGGGAGGGAGAGAGAAGGAAAGAGAGGGAGAGAGACACATACAGACAGACAGAATGTAACAGATGAATTTCATCACCATGAGCAAGATGTTCATTACAGGGAATCAGACAGAGCTCTCCAGCTCTCTTTAAACCTCGCCCTGTTAGCACACACAGTGAATTCTCAAGGATTCATCACTGGCTCCCTGTAAGGACAAGACTGGGTTCTCAACCTCCACTCTAACACTCCATAAACACACACAAGCAATGGCCAAATTACTGAGTTGTTTTCTGCTTTCACTGCTTTAAATAGATTTTGTAAACAGCTGCCAGCTATAATGTTGGGTTTTTTTGCATACAAGAAGGAAAATTCAGGTACCTGCATATATAAAAAATAATAATAATAAAAATCTCCATTTTATTCCATACTAATTTTTCAACCACATTTGAATACAACTGCTGCCTTTTACATTGTGTCAATTTCACAATAAGTGTACCAATAAAAATGATGCAAAAAACATGAAGTAAAATCCTATATTAAACGTTAATTTTTTCCCTCTCCTGTAAAGTTGCCATTTTTGAGATAAGTGGTGTTTTTTTTTTCTTGAACAGCAACAACATGCAAAATGTATGTATGTAAGTATGTCAGGAAATAGTGCTGACAGTAGTTTCAGAAAAACAAGCTCTTTAACTGATTAGGAGTTTGAACTTGTTTGAATGCGTTCATACCTGAACAAATGTTTGTGATACAAACCTACAGTCTGTGTAATAACAGTGCAGAGAGAAAGGTATTTCTCCTATTTCTGTTCCAGCGAAGACGAGATGGAAAGATAGTGAATGAGACACATCCCTCAACTCCCCACATACACAGACACACACCTTTACCACAACTGTTAGCACTGTGGAATGCCATCCACAGGTACAGGTACCTGCTTGCAGTTCGGCACCACATGCCTGCTGCTGCTCTAGCTTTCACCAGTTTTAACAGTTGAGAACAAACAGAAACATGAGTTGATCATTAACGGCCAAAGTGTGAAAGAAATGCCATAGCAATGGCACGAGTGACAACAGAATTATTCACCAATAAAAGGAACAAGACACGAAATATCCAGCAATGTTAAGGAGAAATAAACAGCCAGGTCATGTCTGAATAAGTGCAATGGAGTGGATCAGGACCATATGCTTCACTCTGATTATGCTGACACACACTGTGTGTTCTGTGTTCAAACTGCTCATGGCAAACATGGGTAAAGGAAGAACAGAGGGTTTGTAAATGGACCGAGTCATCAGATATGTTCAAGCTTTCCAAACATATTCCTTATAGAACTCCATTCTAATACGCCACCACACAACTGTCCTCTAAACAACAGGCTCCATGGTGACTGTGACCATGTGGCCCTGAGGCTTCCAGACTGAGACACGTTTCCAAGAGAGAATAAAAAACCTTCTGAAACATTCCCAAAGCTTTTCATTTCCAAATCCAGACAGTTATATTTCTTATTGCTGCAAAGCCATAACAACAGGGTCTTTTATTAAACAGCTTTAAACAAAAGCACATGCAATTGTCTAATTAGAATAGTATGCCACAACCTCACATCCTTACCCGTATCGGTGCTGTAGAGAAGCGGATCTTCCTCCTTGGTGAATGTTCTTCATCTTCTGAAAGACCAGCCAATTCTTCATACTCCTCATAGCACTGATCATCATCTTCTTCATCATCTTCCTCATCATCTTCCTCATCCTCCTCTTCCCTCTGCTCCTCATCCTTGCTCTGAATGGGTTCTGTCTCCTTATCATCCACAAAGGCTGCATTCTCAAAACTATAAAACACTGGAGACGTTTTTCCAGATTCATCCTGATCTTGTTCACTTTCTTCCTCCTCCTCTTCCTCCTCCTCCTCCTCATCACAATGTTTGATGCTCTCTTTTTCCATTGGCTCCTCTCTCTGCTCCCCTGTATGTTGTTCTGGTGCCTGAGATACGTCTTCCTCCTGCTGCTTGACCTCTGCGACCTTCTGTAGGTCTTCTTGGGGTGATGGAATTGCAGGTGTTCCAGTCAGGCCTGCCTTGAGTGATTCAGCATTGAGCTGCTTTTTCAGCTTCACCTCCTCAAACACATTACCATCCACACACTTATCCTCATCCTCACTTTCTGAGGACTCATTCTGGACCACCACAAGCTCGGCTCGAACCACTCCTGCCCCAGCAGGATCCAAGCTTGGTGGGGACTGTGGAGGTAGCTTGTCCTTGGATGGGGTCCGCACCAGACCGGAGCCACTCTTTGCTATCTCTGGGCTCTTGACCTTGTTGTAAAAACTGCTGACAAAAGGTGAAGGCTTTTGATCTTTAGGAGATGGACTGGCAGGTTTAGTTTCCTCGCTGCCTGTGAATGATTTGGTAAAACCATCACGTGAGGAGGAACGCTTGACCGGGCTTGTGGCAGTGGGTGAAAGGGGCTCGTCATTGTTTTTAGTCGTGGGAGAGGTGGGTTTGTAGGGTGCCGGGCAGACCGGCGAGCTAGATTTGAATGCAAAGTCACTAGTGGGCGAGGTTGGTTTGAGAGGTGAGTGAAGTGGTTTGGAATCAGTATTTGGTGAGGTTGTTTTTTGTAAGTGGTCACTAAAATTTGAAGCTGGTTTGTGAGTACTATCACATACAGGTGATGTGGGCGTTGAACCTTCTGCAGGGCTACACACCTTCTCTAGAGTTTTAGCTGACACTTTCTCTTCGTTGTCATTATCTGTCATGAAGTTCTCCAGTCGTCTGGATATGGGACCTGCATTTAGTAATCTATGGACCGGTTTTGATTCCTCAAACTCCTTCTCCTCCGACACACTCCTGTCCTGTGATGTAGGGCTACAGTCTGTTTTAATAATGTTGTTGCTATTTTCGGTAGCCCCTCCAGGTCTCCTGCCTGCTCTCCTCTCTTCACACACACTCCCCTGGGACACCCGGCCCGAGGCCCTGCCCGGAGCTGGCCTCTCTACAGCAGGCTGTTCCTTTATCCCTCTCTCAAAGAGTTTTCTAGTCACTGAGAACTTCTCTGCCAATGCTGCTTTGTCTATTTCGCCATCCTCCCCCTTTGGGGTCTTGTCTGAGCTCGGCACTTCCAGGCCAGTGGGGCTGCTCAGGCTACTTTTGCTGGAGCCAACAGGAAATTTTGGCAGCGAGGGGACCTGAGACGTGTCCGTTTTCAGAGCGGGCTTCACCTCCTGAGTCTCCTGCTGTTGCTGCTGCTGCTGCTGGCTATCCATTTGCAGGAAAATGTTCTTTATCTTGTTCACCCTGTTGCCAAACGGTCGCCCCCTTGTGTCCTCCCGGGGGTCACTGGAGCCATTAGCATATGACTTGGATGAGCTGTCGGATTTAGTCCCATCAAAGGAGCACTTAATGGCGTGGAAGTCCGACTTGTAGGCATTTCTGTGCGGAGAGGCACTCCGCAAAGTCCTCTCCCCTTTGCTCTCAGCCTTGATCATTTTCACACACTCACTCTCAGAGTCGAGAACTTAAAAGCGGCCGAGCGGAGAGGCTCCAAATCCGGATTTCCAGATCCGCAATCTATGAGCAGCCGATGTCCTTTATCCTACTCGTACGATGCCATAAGTACTGCGGAGCTGCTCAGATGCATTCTTTAAAATTAAGCAGAGGGTAGATATCTGCAAAAAAGACAAAAAAACTGGCTTTAGATCGGGAAACGGTCTCACTGAACGTGTGTTTGTTCCACACTGTGAGCCCCGACCAGTTAGGCTACTCAGTCAGACTACAGTGTGGCTATGCTACATATCTTACCACCACCAAGCAGGACTAGCTGAGGCGTTAAAAGATCCTATTTAGTCACGTTTAGACTTTAACTCTCATTAAGTTTACCTCACGTTGTTGGCTCAGATTATTTTAAGTATAAAGTGTGCTTTAGACAAGATTAGCCAGATCGTTCGAGATCAAAAACCGCCCAAATGGGATAAAAAACTTCATCGAAAACCAGCCCCGTCCACTCCTGACAAGTCAAACATACAACAAAGACCTTTTTTTCTGAATACAAACCCTGTGCAGCAGTTGGCTAACCGGCGTGAAGAGTCGAGAGAAGTTTCGCTGAAAGCGAGTGTGGAAGTTCAGTAAAGTCGGAGCCTCCAGCAGCCACGCGGGCCTCAACTCTTACCTTCACCGAAACGCCATCGTTACAGAGCCGCTCCGCTTCTTCACTCGGAGCAAACTTGTCATATCTTCTCCGCCATCGTCCTCTACCCCGCTCTCTCCCTCTCCCTGATGAAAACTCACACAGACCTGTCGCGCCGCCGCCGCTCGTTCCCGTATGGCGCGCGTGCACGAGCGCATTCCTCGGCTGCTAAATCCCAACCCCCTTCCTGAGGGCGCGCGCGGGCGCGGGAGCGCGCAGACAAGCAGACAGAGGGGAGGCCCGGGAATGGCGTGGGAAAAAAAAAGAAACATTCCGACCGACCCTCTCAGCAACGCTGTCTGTAGAAAGAGAAAAGAATGAAAGCACCAATGTGCTTCGGGACGGTGTTTCACAGCGGTGAAGTGGCTTTATACCTTGTCTTTCTCTCTCTTCTCCCAGGGGCTCCGACTCTTTTTCCACAACAAACAACAAAGAAAAACGGAAACAGGACTACAGGACGGGCTACCTGCGCCCCAAGCAGCCGTTTGATGGGGAAATGTTTCAATATTTCTGCATAATTCAGTCACTGAGATTTAAGCAGAGTCGTGTCTGTCAGAGTTGGTTGATGTAAAATAGTGCATTGTAAAAAAAAATTATCAACTCAGATTTCCGTACAGTGGTGGTGAAGAACCAGGGGTCGCGCTGTCTACGACTCAGATATAGCCATTGTATTTACTATCCGAAACTACCAGTGAACTCTCACGTCTTCTACATTTTTGGATACGATTTTGCCCTACAATGGCTTGCAAGGAGCCCACTGCCATGAATGTATTCTACTATATCTCGTAAAGGCCAACCTTGTCATATAATACCTTTACTTTCATGTAGTTTTAAAGGTTTTAAACGAACGACAGACGTCTGGTTCCTAGCACTACCATTAAGAACAGTTCAGACTCGGTACGTTTCTCTATTGTGGTGTAATCAGTACATCCTGCTCGACCTTGTTTACATCTTAAAAAAGTCAGTGGTGTTCCCTTAACGCATTTTCAGTTTGAGTTTTTGTTGGCACAACTTTGGAAGCTAATGCTATATATATATATATATATATATATGTGTGTGTGTGTGTATAGTGTATATACATATATATATATATATATATATATATATATATATATATATATATATGTATATATATAGAGAGAGAGAGAGTTTAGCTAGTAATTTAGTTTATTTAGTTTACTGTGAGTTGCTCTCATCCTTCTCGCAGCAGAATGATATTAGCCAACTAGCTGTGCCTCAGGGTGATGAGAGAAAAGTATTCAAATGTGAGAAATTCTTTTTTTATGCCACATAAACTTTCAAATCTGTTCTTACTTGCAAACATCTACTCCATTATTTAGATAGGTAAAAACTATAGTAAATATTGCACTGTTGTAAAATCTCCATATTTAGAATGTAAGCCTAATAGTTCATTAGTCAACTTTTATTGTGTCCTTCTGGCAGTCTGGCAGTGCATAATAAGAGTTTACCAGGTGCAGTTTGAGACAAAGTCTTTCATAAGGAGCCGGACATTTTTGCTGTATTGATGCACCCTTTTGCACTACACAAAGGTGAATGGTTATATATTGTGCCAAACTCAGCAGCTCGTTTTGGGCGTTTCCCAGTGTCTACTGAACACAAAGTAAGTGGGTCACAGTCACAGGGTGATGTGGCAGTTGGAGCCGGGCGCAGTCACTTCCAGCCCTGCATTCACACATGTCTGACTTTTATTCCTAACAGATCTCTGTTCTGGCGAATGACTACAGAGGGCCTCATTCAATCAGTCAAATTACCATGAAATGCTTATGTAACAGCGTTTTTATAGAGTAAGGTCTATTGCACTAAAACAATTGGAGATGTTTCAGAGCCGTAAAATGCAACCATATGTTATTATAGAGATAAAGCACTTAACTTCATCTCCTTGTTCACTATGGGAATGAAAATTGTAGCTACAAAAACTATTTGGATATAGTCCCATAAATTACACAGTGGATAAGGGGTAAGTCTTCACTGACTTCCTCTGCAGTGTGTCTTTGGCTTGGCTTGGGTGATTGTGCCCTTAAAGACAGTTGCCTCAGCACCAATGCAGTTTATATGAGATTAGATGCAAAATGAGTGTGGATACTGTGTCTAGATGACCAACCCTACTTGTGAGGTTCATGTTGTGCTTCATAAGGGTTAAAAATATTTAAATGGCCACAGTGTTACTGCACTTATCCCTCATTCCTCCATTTAAACACATTCAAACAGTCTCAGGTCTGGAGATGAAGAGAAACAACCTCACCATTTGGTATTACTGATGGACATATAGAGATGCTGCTTATTACATGAAGATTGCTCAATCAAGTATTAACTCTTCATAGAAACGTGAACATGCTGGTGTTGCCTTCATTAGTATTATGATTTTACAGTGGATGAGACATTATAATAAACTCAACGTTAAGTTTTATAGTGACAGCTGCCAGTCAGAGGTTTGATAAACTTTGCATAAATTTCAATTTATGTCAGTTTGACCAGAAATTGTCAAATTTAAAAGCTAAGTATCACTCACGCAATGCACAGCAATGAATATCTGTAGATGGAGCAAACCAAAATCCTCTAATAGAGATATCTTTTAGACTGTGACTTGGCAGATAATGCTGAAGCAGATGGTGAACTATTTTACCCATGCATGTTCTCTACGCTTTTCTGTTTCTCTCTGCTCCAGGGATGACCCAATGTACATATTTAATCATATGATACATGAAAAATTAACTGCAATTAATAACATGGAGAAAGGTTCAGATAATCTGGAAGAATGCATATTTACAGGGCAACACTGTCTTTAAATTATAAGTCTGTGAATGTGAGGAGATCATTTCAAAAAGCTCAGAAAGTTTCCTGAAGGACATTCCAGCCCATTTATGTCTTTCTACTTTTTTAAAGACACAGTGAGAAATACTCAGTGGCATCAGAAGGTTTTTTCCCCCCAAATGAGTTGGGGTCTTGTGGCATTTCCGTCAGCAATCTGCGCTCTCATTTCAGCTTGACTGAAAGCAGCGTTATCTGATGAGCTCAGCTTAACAGAGTCATTCACTTCTCTTCTCGTACACAACTGATGTAATCATCTCCTAGCTCTAGGCGCAACAAACTTATAGTCATCTCCCCGTCACATTGTGCCTAGAGATGAGAAAAGATTATATCAGTTGTGTATGTTACTTTGTTTATGAATGTAACTGTATTTATGAATGGCACAAGTCCTACAAACTGTGACATTATGGCTGACCATTTAAAAGCAAAACGAATCTTAGATTAACATAAAAGAAAGAAAAATGTGTATGAACACTGCAGTTGATAATTCTCCTAACTTGGCTGGCGAGAGTAAGTGTTAAGCACTTTTACTCGGGAGTGCATGCATGGCTGGCTCCAGTACCACTGCCCACGCACATGAGGCCCGCATGTGTGCACTGACTCCTGCATGCCTCCTGCATCTCCTAGTAACCACGAGCCTGAAAAGCAGACAGGCAATTATTAAGGGCAGCCCTTCCTTTTCCCTCATGTCCCTGGAGTAGAACTGTTTTGTTAAGTAAACTGTAGTTAAGTCAACCGCCCTGCTACCGTATACTGAACCAATGACTCAAAAGACTAAAAAAAAGAAAAAGAAAAATCAGTCCAGGCTTTAAATTGAGCTGCTTTTTCATCCTCTACAGTATGAAAGAGAACCTTACTACGATATATGTCAGAGGAACAGTATCACTGCTTTCACATTGGCATAAAGTACAACTCCAAAAATCTTTTCTACTTGTGGCTCATGTGGAAGCCAGATTTGTGACTCATCATGTTTTACTCATGCTTTTAAACATTTACTGAGTACACTTGGTGAACTTTTCATAATGCTGTGTTTCTAAGTAGTGTATGTTACAGTAAATAATAAACTGGCTCTACTTTCTAAATCACAGCACACAGTAAAGGGACTTTACTGGGACTTTTTACAGTTTTCTCCGCAGCACTCAAATGCTGTTGACCTCACCTCCCCAGATTAAAATGTAAATCACTATAGACTGTGTTTAAAAATAGCACCCCTCATCCCACTCGCCCTCACATGAGCCCACAAGCCCTGTCTGGGGTTCTTTTGCTCTCTGTGATGGAAAGAAATTTCATGCTTATGTTTACCTTTCATTGCAAGGAGCTGATAAGATCAAGTCTCCACTTTTTTTTTTTTTAACAAATACCGATGATTCTTTAGTGAATCAAGTCTGGTAATCCTCATTTTCAGATTATCTTATCCAGAAAGTCCAAGAAAGGTTGGATAGTTCCAAGAAACGTTGGATTCATTGAATAGTGCATTAAATTATTTCTCAGATGAAACAGATATTTGATGCTGGCATATAACACTTTCGTGCGCTGTACTACAGAGCCATTCATGTCCTCATCAGTCTTCTACCCGGCTGATCATAAATCACATTTTCCAAGAGGAAATTTTCAATAAGGTTAGTTTCCCCTCGTTTCTCAGGGAGGACCAAAGGATTTTAAAGTCACTTTCCTAAACGCCTACATACTGCACTGCCATAATTATCATACTGGCCCTCAGTTTGGAAATCTCTCCCTTCTTTATGTGGTAATGTTAGTATACACCATTGAGAGAGTTGATTACCAGGCTTTCAGTACAATGCTGAACAAAACATCATTTATGAACAAAGAAATTCCGCCCTACATTTGCCACACTAGAAATAACACGATGGAAGACTTCACGTCCATTAGATATACACGATTAAAAAAGGGTTCTTTAGCAAAGAAAATTAGCAAAGAAAAATGGGTTCTTTAGCAAAGAAAATGGTTCTAAATAGAAGCATGAACATTCAATGATACATTTGCTTGATTAAAGGGTTCTTTGCATCGTAAAAGTACTAAGTACGGGACGGTCGTTACATTCGCTGAAGTTCTCAGTCCCCCTGTACTACTTGGTGTAGTATTTTTTCATCTGCTTTAACACATTGTCTTGTTGTTGTACTGAGGCCCTCGAAGAACATTGTTCTGTATACTTGCATGCCTGTACATGATTGGTATGATAAGCTCTTCTTGATCTTGATCTGAAGAGCTCCTAATGTTACAGCAGGAATACGCAAGATTAGCAACTACTTTCTTCTGCTTA